GATTTGATAATTTCCTATGTTTTATCTTCTACCTCACTGATTCTTTCCTCTGTTTGGTCAAGTCTGCTTTTGCAGCTTTCCATCGAGTTTTTCAGTTCAGATAATGTATTCTTTGTTTCTGCAATTTCTTTTTTTTTTTTTTTAAATTGATTCCTTTGTCAAGTTTCTCATTCTGCTCCTGGATTGTTTTCCAGATTATCATTTAATTTTGTATCTGTATTTTCTTGTGACTCTCTGAACATCCTCAAGAGGATTATTCTGAATTCTCTGTTAGGCATTTCATAAATCCGCTATTCCTCTGGGTCTGTTGCTGGTGCTTGGTTTGTTTCCTTTGGTGTCATATTTCTCTGTTCTTTCTCAATCTTTTTGTCTTTTCATTGATGCTGGCATTTGAGGAGACTGCTACCTCTTCTAGGTTATACAGGTGTTCTTTGATGGTGTTACACCTTTACTGGATATCAGAGGTTCTAATTTTTTTTTTCAGTTTTTTGTTGAATTATTACTTACCACCACCACTTAAACTCTGCACTGAAACTAATTTGTTGTCCTTTGGTTAGTTCCACAATTGATGGAACTTCCTCTGGGGACCAGCACCTGAGCCCTGTGGTTGAGCTAAATTGCTGCCTTGCTGTTGATTCTTTGGAGAAGTCTTTTGTGCAGCTCACATTTTAATTGTTGACCTTTTAATCTCATCCAGGTCTTATGAGGTCAGATACACCTGGGCTGTGTGGAAATTCTGGCCCAGGACTTAGTCTTTTCAGCAGACTGCACCCCCTGCAGTCCTGTTTCCCTGACTAGTCTCCAGTGAGTGGGCCTGTGCTGACTGGAAGGCAGATCAGCTGCCCGTGCTGTGCGCCAGTGTTCCTCTGGTGGGCCAGCCTCCCTCCCACCCCAACTCTAAACAAACACCTCCCGTGGGGTGAGCTTTGCAGTCGTCTCTTGCAGTGACTCACTGGCCTCTGGGTGAGTCCTGTTTTTGGTCAGCTGGGGCACCTCGCTCCCATGTGGGTACACAGGAACCATGTCAGTGGTCTCATTAGCCTGAAAGCTGGCTTGGTACACTTTTAGTTCCTCTTTTCCCCTGCAGACTCCAAACACATTCATGTAAAGGGCACGGCTGTGGCTTTGCCTGGTCCTGCTCTGTGTGCTCACGGTGGCTGGCCCTAAATTGGCCAGGGCTCAAAAGAGTTGGAATGGTACCTTCTTTCTCTAACGGAGGCTTCTCCTACCTTCATGAACTCTGTGGGTCTCTCCTTTTTCCCCAAGCTCCAGTGATCCTAGGATTAAGTCTTTACTTTTTAATAGTTGTATGTTGATCAGTTGTGGGAGATAGTGATGCTGGGGATCATCTATTCCACCATCTTGAAGACATCCCTTAAAACCTTTTATTATTATTGAGATCCTTGTGTATTCTGGATATTATTCCCTTTTCAGATTTGTAGTTTGCAAATATTTTCTCCCATTCCCCGGGTTGTCTCTTTGCTTTGTTTATTGTTTCCTTTGCTGTGTGGAAGCTTTTTTGTTTCAATGTGCTGATGGTAAAAATGTATATTCTGCAGTTGTTGAGTGAAATGTTCTGTAAATGTCTGTCAAGTCCTTTTGGTCTAAAGTGCAGTTTAAATCCAATATTTCCCTGCTAATTTTTTGTCTAGATGATA